AGGGGGAGCAGGCAGAGCCCCCCTGGATGCAGGGGAGACTGGGATGTGCTGGGCTGAGGGGGGCCAGGCCTGAGGCCGGAGAGTTTCCTGTGCTGGGGTCAGACGCTCGATAACCCTCCTGTGCGACGCTGGCTGAGTGTCCCTCCGGGCTAGAGAACGGGGGGGGGGCATTATTGACTCTGGGAGCGGGGAGATGGGGGGCCCCAGAGCGAGGGGACTCCCTGGGGGGCCCATGGCAGAGACAGACGTGCTAAGGCTCAGAGAGGTGCGGCTCCAGGAGGTGGAGGGGCCTGACCCCTGGGACAGAGGGGACCCCGAGAAGGGCTGTCCCTCTGACCGGGGTTCGCCCCAGGGACCGCACGGGGCCAAGCATGGGCACGATCTGTGAGTCCGTGACACTGCCCCGTCCATCCCCATGTGCCCCTGTGTACCCCCCTCTGTCCATCAGAGGGGTGGGGAGGGGGGGCAATGGCCCCCAATGTACCAGGCTCAATTTGGCCGGATACCCCCAAACCTGGGGGGTCCCCAGGACCCCAGTCCACCCCCCAGAGGGCGCAGGAGCCACGGGGGGGCCCCAAAGGGATAGCACAGCCCTAGGAGTGCTCCAACGGATGCCGAGAAATTGGTGGGGGGGATCCCTGCTGAGAGGTGGGGGGCAGAAATAGCAAAGAGATCGGGGGGAGGAGTGGCCCCCCCGACACCGAGGGATGGATTGGGGGGGGGGGTCACCTGGGAGATACACCCGGATGCCTGGGTTCCAATGCCTGGGGCTGCGCTGAAAATCGACACCCCCCCCCAAGCCTTTATACCTCCCGGCACAAGGGTCCCCACTCAGGGCTGCCCCCCCCCGCAGGTCCCTCCCCCAGGTCCGAGGGGCCCCCACCCCACTCACTGGGTCGGACCCGCAGCTCGATCGGCTCTTTCTGGATGATGGTGCGGGGGCCCAGGTAGTGGGCGTGGCAGATGTAGTCGGGGTGACTGTCCGAGCGCCGGACGTTGGCAAAGTACAAGTACCCGTCCTGCCCCATGCTGACCCGCTCGTCCTGCGCGATGTGTACGATGCCTGCCGGGCAGCGAGGGGTTAAACCGGAGCTCAACCCGCCCCCTGCTCCCCGCAGCCCTTGCCCCATTCCCCACCCCCTGAGCCCCCCTGCGCCGGCCAGTCCCCACCCTGGGTCAGGGGGGAGCCGGCGCCCCCCCCCAACCCCACTCCTCGCGCCCCTGAACCAGCCAGTCCCCGCCCTGGGTCAGGGGGGAGCCGGCGCCCCCCCCAGCCCCACTCCCCGCGCCCCTGAACCAGCCAGTCCCCGCCCTGGGTCAGGGGGGAGCCGGCGCCC